AGTCCTGGGGATAGGAAGTGTGTTATGGTGGTAGGGAAGCACCAAAGGAATGGAGTTGTTATGGCGGGAGTTCCTGATAGGGTTGATGGTCCGGGGGGTGTTTTTGGCTCGGGCAAGGGCCCTGTCAATCACATCGCTGGGGTTTCCCCTGTTGATGAAAAAGGAGTACATTTTGAGAGCTTGGTTCTCGAAGTCAATGTGGTCGCTGCATAATCGTCATAGCCTAAGGAACTGTGAAAAAGGGAGAGAGTTTATAGTGTGGTTGGGGTGAAATGAGCTATACAGGAAGTAGCTGTGTGAATCCGTGGGTTTGTAATAAACAGAAGTGGAGAGTCGGGGGTAGTTGATGGAGAAGTTGATGTCTAGAAATGGAAGAGCAGTGGAATATATGTTAACCGTATATTTGAGGGATGGGTGGAAGTTGGTGAAATGATGCAGAAAGAACTCAATAATAATAACAACCATTATAATAATAATAACCGTTTGTAATAATCTTCTATATAAGAAGATTGAGAAGTGTGTCACTAAGTAGGCTTGAACCACCAACCTTTTAGTTAATACTGTAAAGGTCTATTGTGACATTCCACCATATTTTCCTTAAGTTTAATATAAATGTAAAGGTAAATGCTGTGCAATAAATTGTCATTTTGTTGTAATTTTAAACAATATTCTAGCAGAGTATGCAAGGGGAAAATACAAGACAACTGTATAAGAGGCTGGTATCTGAATACAATTGACAATCAATATTAAACCATAATTTGTACAATATTATTGTCGGTATCCCTCAATATTGATGATCAGTTCAAGGATTTTTCAAAGAAGCAACAGCAATAGCAGATGATTTTGGTTTTGAACACCTCAGTAGTCCATTTGTCCTTGAAAGAAGAAAAGACAGGTATGTTCTTAGCTTCATGATGATCCTCTTCTGGATCCAAAAGAAACGTGTAAATTTGATTGTTTCTGTAGTAATTTGGACATAGTTATAACTTCCATGGAAGAGAGATATCATCAGAGTCATGCAATCGAAACTTTCAACTTTTTGTATGGTATTGGACATATTAAAATATAAAATAAACAGTTTTCTAAAGGAAAATCTCATAAAGTAATGCCAGGACCTACATTTACCGCTCAGTACAGATAACACTGCTTGACATTGATGGAGTAGAAATGTATGATGTATTGACAGCTTTATCTGAATCAATATGTATTAAAACACCTCCTATAAAAGTGTTAGAATTAAAAGCAAGTAATATTTTCCACCCCCAAAGGCTACGATTACATTACACATTATGTGTACATTACCAGTTTCGGTAGTTTCTGTTGGGCGCAATTTTTCAAACTGAAACTTATTTAAGATGCACCATGTCTGAAAATCGTAAATCAGGACTAGTATTACTATCAACTGAAAGTACTACAGAAGAAAATCAAAACCTTTGAAAAAAGCTCTTGGAAATTGATCTTCTTCAATAATGTGTCGCCTTAAGGCAAATTTTAAATCAGCTGAAAAATGCTGTAAAATGAGGGGGCATTTCAGGCCAGTGGATTTGGATTTGGGTTACAAGAACCATTAAACTGCGACTCGTTATACTTATAACTTCACGTTAAATGACAAAATTGAGAGTTAAGCCAGCTGAACAGGTTTTCTTACAACTTTTGTCCTGAGTCAGTTTTGGAATACAATTTCTGAACGCTACACTAAACAACATAGGCAGCCAAAAGTCTCCAAAACAAAATTTACAGATAGAAGAAAATTCTTATATTGTCTTATAGAACCCTTGGGACACAAAAACCAACACTGAGTGTAAAAAGTGTTTAAGTACTTTCTTTTTTAATATATACGCACTGAGCATTGGGGGTTCAGTGGTAGAATTCTTGCACACATGAGAGGCCTGGGTTTGATTCTTGGGCAATGCAGTGAGTTTTGCAGTTAGCAGCTACATCACCTTCCAACCCACAACTGACAACCCACTAAAGCAACACTGGTCAGTACCTGGATGGGCGAGACCTACTGGAAAAAACAAAGCTCGTTGCTGGAAGTGGTGTTAAGAGACTCTTAAGATCTTCCAGAGGTGTCGGTCTAATAGCATTAGTTCCCTTACAGAGTTTACCTTTCATAGATGCGCAAATATTGATGGGGGTGCATGTTTCAAGGCACAGATTAGAGATGATTCGTAGCATGTGTTCATTTCCATATATGCCCCGTGTTGCGGTGGTAGAATGAAGTATAATACTACATTGACACGCAACGACATTATATTAAACTGCAGGACTTGAGTTTTTTTGGTCATTTTGTTTTTCATTGCATTCATAAGAGTGTAAATCAAAGGCAATTCCTGCATGCAACACTAATATAAATGCTATTCAAACTGTGGTGCAGCTTCTAAAATCCTTATACACATTTCTCAATTTTTTTTTTCTAACAAAGTTCCATTTTTATGTCCAGATGAGGAGACTATCAGTCCAACTTTAAGCCCCCCTAAATCCTCTGAGGTGTGTCTGTCTGCTAGCATGTATTTTGTAAAGATTTTTCTTTAAGACAGAGAGGGACTTTGAAAAGGGTTTCAGACGCTGCCATGCGCACCATGTTATATTGTAGCAAGAATGTGGCGGTAGCAGCACTTGCTGTAGTCGGGACGGAGTGCTCAAGGCGATGAACTAGAAACATATTGGGGTCTCCCCATGTGGGTTTGAATCTCACTTATTATAGTGACCTTCTTATGTCATCGTGTTTCTGCACAAAAAAAGATAAAATGCTCTTTCCTTTTTCCTGGTACTTTTAAAGTGCTAAATCACTTGGACCCAAAGCCTTGGCAATAAGTCCTTCAGTGTCCACAAATGACATTTCGCAGATGGAAGCAGATAACGATGCTCTTTCCATCCTCATGTCTTGTGCCCTACTTCCAGCCTTTGAAAACCTAATTAGTAAAGCTGAAAGAACCGACTCCATAGGTGTTGGTCGTGCACAAAGAGGAGCTGTGATTACAGAAGAGGAGGAGTGAGAATGGTGCAGATGGAAACCTGTTTTCTTGCGCTCCTCTGGAAGAAATTAAAATAAAAGCTGAAACCCGAAACAGCAGTAGCCATGAGAGGAAATGCCTCCAAGCAACAAGCAAGCACCCCTTGTTCGTATAGTGGTGAATATCCCCGCCTGTCACGTGGGAGAACAGGGTTTCATTCCCCAATAAGAAGACTGGTAGCTTTTCTCCCATCAGATTCCATCTCTCATGCAGTGTGAGAAAGCTTACGTAATATTCCTTTCCTGTCATTTTCTGACTATTTTAAAGGGGCACCTTGTCAACTCCTAAATGCTTTTTATCAAAATCTACATATGTGTCTGATTAATTTAGCTTTTTCTTACAAAAAAGTTAATTATTGATAACAATCTCCAGTGAACAAAGAAAGTGCCAAAACTGTGAGTTCTTGAATCAGCTACATGGGTATCTGTTCAGTAGTGGTCAGGATATATATATATACGAGAAACCAGGAGGTATCACTTCACTCCTATGAAGCACACAGGATAGGATAGGGACGTAACAGGAAAGGAACGGGACATTTTCTGTGTTTGTGCATATGTCAACGCATTATCTACATCGTACTGCCTTTCTCATTTGCATGACACCAGAAAGACCACAGAGCAAGCTATTCCTCACGAGTGAGATTCAAACCAACGCCTCCAGGGTGACACCATTATAAAAAGCTTTGGAAAATGTGTTGGCTTTTATAATTCATCTTTGTGGAGTGAATGTTGTATTTGAGATAAAAGCAAAGATGCTCACTAAGGTATTGATAACACAGGTTCTGGCTATGCAGGAACTATGAATCATATTCATATGAGGTCATCAGAAAATAATATTTAATTGCACTTAGTTTATGAGGCTGTTAAAGTGTATATATATTGCTTATCCTGTCTGGTTTAAAAAAAAAAAAAAAAAAGCTGCACTGAAAAAGAATGTTAAAAAACATAAAAAAATGGAATTATTAGTAAGGGTGCCAAAATAGATTTTTTTATCAAGAGAGATTCATACAATATCTCCAATTCCTTATTATTTACCCTTTATTGCATAAATATTTATTGTATTTAATAAAATTTAGATTGTGCAACAAAGACTTTGAGCTTTTGGGTCTCTTTGTCTTAAGAGTTACAGTTAAGAATCCTAATCTGTTTTATACGCATTTCTTGCTTTACATGGTAAGTTAAAAGATGTTACACAATTAAAAGCCTATCCAATGAGAACAGTCTTAATTGGAAATTAAACAGGACTTAACATTCCAAGACTATAAAGGAATAAAGAATTCAATTTAGACTTACATTTTATTATACACATAAAGTAAACTGCATGACTAGAACTAATTCTGTTCTCATCAACTATAAGTAAGAGTAATTATAGTCAACTTTTAGATGACTAGACTAAATAAAAAGTGGGCGACTACAAAGTGACTAATAGACATTTTAGGAACAAGTAAAGGTTTATTCCTCTGAAAAGAGAACAAAGAAAACACAATATGTCGGCTGTGCAACCTTTTACAGATGTCACATGCTGATGCAGCTACCTACTTCAACTAAAAGACATTTCAGTTGACAAGACTAAGACTATGATAAATTAAAAACTGGTGACTAAATTGGTGTTTTAAAGTCCCCTGACAAGATAAAACTCTTCTCACTCTGACTGTAGCTGAATGATCTCTCGCCTGTGTGACTGCACTGGTGGACAATGAATGTCTCCTGTGTGAGTGCACTGGTGGGCTATTAAGGTACATGAGTCACTAAAACACTTCCCACACTGACTGCAGATGAAAGATCTCTCTGCTGTACGAATAAGGGCGGTGTGTTGGCAATATGGCTAAGGATCTGGGCCTGTGGGTGCCGGTTCAAATCCCGAAGCTGACTGAGGAATCCTACTCCATTGGACACATGAGCAAGGCCCCAAACCCCAACTGCTCCAGGGGTGCTGTACAAATGGCTCCCCCTGCGCTCTGACCCCAAGCTTCTCCCTCTATCTGTGGGCCTCATGGTGTGCAACCTGTGAAAAGACAAATTCTTAATACAAGAAATTGTATATGGCCAATAAAGTGATCTTAATCTGGGGGCTGTTCAGGTGATTCAGTCACTAAAACTATCCCTACGCTGACTGCAGCTGAACGGTCTCTCTCCTGTGTGAGTGCGCTGGTGGGCTCTTAAGGTACTTGACTGACTAAAGCTCTTCCCACATTGACTGCAGATGAATGTTCTGTCTCCTGTGTGAATGTGCTGGTGGCTTTTTAAGTTGCATAACTGACTTAAACTCTTTCCACACTGACTGCAGCTGAATGGTCTCTCTCCTGTGTGAATACGCTGGTGGTCTTTGAAGTGGCTTAATCGACTAAAACTCTTCCCACACTGACTGCAGCTGAATGGTCTCTCTCCTGTGTGAATATGCTGGTGGGCTCTTAAGGTACTTGACTGACTAAAATTCTTCCCACACTGACCGCAGCAGAATGGTCTCTCTCCTGTGTGAATATGCTGGTGGGCTCTTAAGGTACTTGACTGATTAAAATTCTTCCCACACTGACTGCAGCTGAATGGTCTCTCTCCTGTGTGAATGTGCTGGTGTCTTTTTAAGTTGCATAACTGACTAAAACTTGTCCCACACTGACTGCAGCTGAATGGTCTCTCTCCTGTGTGAATGTGCTGGTGTGATTGTAAGTGGCTTTTCAAACTAAAACTGGTAGGGTTTTGAAATGCTAGACTGACAGAAACGCTGCTCCTCCCTGTGCCATAATATCAGTTTGTCCACTCCATCTGAGCAAGGCCTTGAGTGATTCTTCCTCATCCTCTGATCGTGCTGGGGTCTCTTATTTTGCAAATGCTCCATGGAATGGTCTTGCTCTGTGTGCTGAAACTGAGATTTGTTTTCTCCAGCCTGTCCTTCAGTGTGCTGCTCAGCAGTGTGAATCATCTGGGGCTCCTTCTCCAGCTCTCTGAGACTAAAACCATCCAGTTCATTCAGTTGTTCCTCTCTTTGCCCAAGAACAGACATACTCTCCAGTTCATTAAAACTTTTTAACAATTTGCTCAGTAACCAGATTACTAAACCTGTGTGTAAAGTCATCAGATACTAAGGGATCATATGATTGTTTTAGACTCTGCAATGACAGTCTCTCCACTTGAACAGAACAGGGCCTATTTATTATCAAGCTCTGTAGGAGCTGCCGTTGCTCCTCCCTGTACTGACCCTTCTCTGTGTACTGTGACTCAGTACTGTTCTCTTCACAAGGTACATCAGTCTGCTGCTGGTCACTGAGTTTCTCTTTCCCTTCTACAGCAGTGAGCGCTGTCTCCTGCATCAGACTGGAGCCCCACTCCTCCTCACTGTGCTGCTGTTCAAGAGGAGCCCTTTCCCCAGCGTCAGAGAGAGCACTGGTCTCTGAGCCTGTAAATACAGGACAAGAGAACAAGACCTTTATAATAATAATAAACTTTATTTTATATAGCACCTTTAAAGGTGACTTCTCAAAGCACTTTACAGAAGGCAAACAACAAAAAATACACAATATAAGCACGATGAGAATACAGTTAGACGAGTCAGTAGATGGTGGTAGTAAGTACAGTAGGGACAGAGGGGTAAAAAACAGATAAAGGCTCTTCTGAAGAAGAAGGTTTTGAGTCCGGATTTGAAGGAGCTTAGAGAAAGTGACTCTCTGATATCCTTGAGAATAAAAGTTCCAGAGCATGGGGCAAAACAGGAGAAGGCCATGTCACCAATAGAGTGTAGAAGGACTGGGGGAAAATAGTTGAACACAATTAGAAGAGCGAAGCTTGTGAGGTGGAGAGTAGGGTGATAACTCAGACAGGTACTGAGGTGCTAAGCCATGGAGAGCCTTATAGGTGAGCAGGAGGATTGTTAAGTTGACATGAAACTTGACAGGAAGCCAGTGTAAGGACTCCAGGATAGGAGAAATGTGAACACTTGCACTAGACAAACTGGACATTACAGCATATTACACTGCACTGACAGAGAGGTGTAAATACAGACAGACTGACTGGACACTACAGTACATTAACACTGCACTGAGAGAGGGGGTTTTATACAGACACACTGACTGGACACTACAGTACTGTAACACCACACTGAGACAGAGGCATTTATACAGCCATGCACAAACTTGAAATGACAGTACATTAACACTGCTCAGAGAGGGGGGGTAAATACAGACAGACTGACTGGACACTACAGTACATTAACACTGCACTGAGACAGAGGCATTTATACAGACATGGACAAACTTGAAATGACAGTACATTAACACTGCTCAGAAGGAGGGGGATAAATACAGACAGACTGACTGGACACTACAGTACATTAACACTGTACTGAGGGAGAGAGGTGAATACAGACAGACTGACTGGACACTACAGTACATTAACAATGCACTGAGAGAGGGGGTTTTATACAGACATGGACAAACTGGAAATTAAAGCATATTAACACTGCTCTGACAGAGAGTGGTAAATACAGACACACTGACTGGACACTACAGTACTTTAACACCACACTGAGCAGAGGCATTTATACAGCCACGCACAAACTTGAAATGACAGTACATTAACACTGCTCAGAGAGGGGGGTAAATATAGACAGACTGACTGGACACTACAGTACTTTAACACTGCACTGAGAGAGAGAGAGGTGAATACAGACAGACTGACTCGACACTACAGTACATTAACAATGCACTGAGACAGAGGCATTTATACAGCCACGCACAAACTTGAAATGACAGTACATTAACACTGCACTGAGTGAGAGGTTAATACAGACATGCTGACTAGACACTACAGTACTTTAAAACTACACAGAGAGGCGGATTAATACATACGCTCTGACTGGACACTACAGTATATTAACACTATACTGAGAGAGAGGGTTAAATACATACACACTAACTAGACACTACAGCACATAGACACTGCACTGAGAGAGAGGGGTGATGCCCCACACAGACTGGACACTAGAGTACATTAACACTACACTGAGGGGTTAATACAGACACACTGGATTAATATTCCAGAGGAGTTAATACAGACAGACCCTGGAGGACGGTAATACTTAAACCAATCAAAACATTTTTTATATACACAATCATTAGTATACATATAAAAATTTAGACGAATACAACGTAAATACAACATTTATAAATGTTGTTTCCTAATGACGTTGGATTACAAATTGATTCAGTGAAACAATTGTTGAATCTGAACGAGGCGTTTTCAGCACCGTAACTGGACAAAACAGCTCAGTTTCCAATAAAGAATCCCGCTGCTACATCACACAAGTCTTTCCCACTTCAGTCTGCATCTCTCCACTATATTCTCACCAGTGAGGAAAGTACTGATAATGAGAATGTTTACTATTCTGGGATGTTTTCTTTTAAATAAATTTTGTTATTTAAAAAATCTCACCAGTGCGGAAGTTACAGACACTGGTTTTAAACACACACACACACACTCTGACTCCATACAAGTCACCACACTGACCTGACAGCTCCAGTTTCGTGTCCATTTCTTCTTTTATTTCTGCAGTGACTTCACAGAGAAGCGTGTGTCCAACACGATCTGTCTGTCCCCGATCTCCTCCTGCTCCCAAATCCTTCTCCCACAGCTGCAGTCTCCACTTCAGGCTCTCGTTTTCCTTCTTCAGCTGCGCCATTTCACTCCCGACACTGTCCTCCACACACTGGGTGATTTTAAACACGGCCCGTCTCACCAGGATCTGGGAGACGCTGCGGAGTTTGTCTTCAAACTCGTTCTCAGAGTCAGACATCCTGTTTCCAAAAACTTCTGACACTTCATACACGATCGATTTGAGCAAAACCTGCATGAAAGAGTAAAGCTGGGTTTGCAGATTTAACAAGCACTCCGCCATCCTTCTTCAGAGTCAGTCAGAAACAAAGGCTGACTTGCGGTTTAAACAGAACAACTTCTTTATTTGTATTCTAAACAGATCCTGTTGTCAGGGATGTACTCTGTTCAAGCATAAACATAGCCGACAAAATGCTACGTTTGCAAAAACTGAAGTTTAAAAGTTTAAAAAACAACTTTCTTCTTTATTTAAAGAAAATCATTCAATCACCTACACTTGGATGAAGTGGATGAAATACATCCAGGGTTGCGCAGTATAATGACGTCATTCGTTAGCGAGGCCGCGACTTCAAAATAATCTAGAAGCGGAGAGCGTTCAAGATGGCGTTCAGGTGGGAGGTAAAGTTTAGTGGTTGAGGAGTTTTTTTGAGTTTTTCATGACCTGAATGTTAATTTTTGCTTTTTTTCACTACAGAAAAATAAGGACTTAACACTAGTTGTTCAAACTTCAGTTATAATTGAAAGAAAAAAAAACGAT